ATTATTGTGCCATCTCAAAGAGGCACAAAATCACTTTCACAGACTTTTTCATTAACTGTTCCCTCCTGGTGGAATGACCTGCCCAAATCAATCCGAGCAGCTGAGTCCTTAGTCATCTTTAAGAAACGGCTAAAATCACATCTGTTCCATCTTTATTTGACCCTCTAACTCTAGCACTTTCTATTCTATTTTAATTCTACTTTATCTATATCTTCTTTTTTATAAAAAAAAAACAAAACACTAGCTTTCTATTTTTTCTGTTCTATTCTATTCTATTTTTGTGTGTGTGTGTATATATATATATATACCTTGCTACGTGTACTGCATTAGACTAACCGAGTCTTGTCGTTTGCACTTACATATTGTTGCTCTTTTGTTAGTTTTGATTGCTTCTATAATTGTCCTAATTTGTAAGTCGCTTTGGATAAAAGCTTCTGCTAAATGACTAAATGTAAATGTAAATGTAAAGGAGACCATGGAGTGATATGAGACCGTATAAGAGAATAGTTGCCAGGGACAACAATATTATATACAGTTTAGCATCTATTATGCCATGTCTAACATTACTTCTTGCTCCCCACTGGAGGGCGCTGTTTGACATAGGTTGACTTAAAATCCAGTTTGACAAAACTTTATTTGTTATACTTCATATCGGGGAACACGCGAAGCACAGCGGCCTTTTCGCAGCAGAGAGACTGCGTGTTTCATCTTCTTCCAATCTGTTCTGTAAAACCCCTAAAGAATCGTTGCTTGTAAGTCTATCGTTTATATTCATTATTTTTTTATATTTGGTGTTTGTATTTTATTAAGAGTTATATATGTTGGAAGCATGCTAGCTTTTCATATGCTTTGTATTCACATTCAAAAGATCGGTGTAACTAACGTTACTGCAGTTTACCATTGTAAACGTAAACATTGTATAACGAGTTACTGTATTTTGTTTGTTTCTATTTAAGTAAGCATTTATTGTATTTATTTTGCAGTTTCACAAAAGAATGTAACGGAGATTGAACTACATGATTGCACTCAAGCAAAAGTAAAGAGAAAATGTATTCAATCATCTGAGTGGTCATTGAAGCTGATCAGTCATCTCCTTGCAATGTTTGGCTATCTGTATATGCATGTTCAACACACATGCATGCAGAGGACAGAATAGCATCATTATGCAAAAGTAATGATAGAAGAATGCCACAGTTGACCAATCAGAATCGTGTTTTCCAATGCAATAAATCTAACAACAGAATCAGTCGAATCGAAGCCTGCCAAACAATAGAGTACATGTGCATTTGAATGTAATTTCAGACGTCATTGATCTGTTATGTTGTTCTTCGCTGTGACTGTCAGGCAATATATGTTAAATCAGTTTATGTTCACTTATTATTATACTAACAGCACATCAGCCAGTTCACCTCACTGTAGTCCACCCTCTGTTGACAGATCGATTTATCAAGTGTAGGGATTCAATATTAAACTGTCTCAAAATGCAAGTTGCTGAGTCTTCATCTCTCAGGCGGCTGTGCGGCACAAGACCCTTAAACGATGTAATAGGCCCGTTTTACTAAAATAATGCTGCTCCCTGGAAATCACACAGGCAATCTCTTCATGCACAGACCAGCCGCACTCTGTGTGTATGTTGAATTTTTAATTCAGGGTTAGTGACCCAAGAAGACAAAAGGACAAGGACAAGCGGACATGGCAATCCCGAATGGCTATATACTGACCAAAGGAAGTTAAGCAAAAGGCACTTTCCATGAATAGGGAACAAAGTAGGGTCCAAACTAAAAAAGTGTTGTTATTTTTTTTTTCTCAGTGAAAGGGGTACTTAAAGGGATAGTCCACAAATGAAAATTTCAAACAACAGATTTCAAAAAAGAAACTGTCATCATTTACTCGCCATCATGAAATATTGTGAGAAATATCTCTCTATCTCTCTCTCTGGTAACCAAATAAATGGTAATCAAAACTGTTTGGTCACCAATATTCTGCAAAAATATTGTCTTTTGTATTTTTCTGCAGAATAAAGAAAGAAAGAAGGTTTGGAACGACATGAGAATGAGTAAATGATGACAGAATTTTCATTTTTGAGTGAACTATCCCTTTAATCTCAACAGTGTTGATTGTCAACCTCAGGAGGCCAAACTAAATATCAAAAGGGCTGATTATTTTCTATTCATTTTATAAGGTTTAGCTTTGCAGCTGTATTACTGTTACGGAGTCCAACATACAACAACATAATCCTAAAATAAAATACATAACGTAACAATTAATTAATAAGGTCTGATTGTCACTATTAACTACAACTTTTAAATAAACTCTTAATTTGCTGCTCATTAATAGTTAGTAAGTTAGTTGTTAAGTTTAGGTATGGGGAACGATTAAAGTATCTAAAATATGGTTGTGCAGAATAAGACATTAATATGTGCTTTATAAGTAGTAATAAACAGCCAATATGCTAGTAATAGGCTAGCAAATTTGGGTATAAATATTCAACAGTTAAATATTTGTTTTAAAAAATGAAAGGATAAGGACATTTCATTTATTATTTTTTATTTATTTTATTTTTTCTTACAAGTCATGCTGTAAATAATGTTCAAATAATGTCACTTCTTGGGTGTTACAATTTTTAGGAATTGTTTGTAATGGGGTAGAAATCAAGTATTATTATTGTTATTATTATTATTATTTGTAGCTCTTAAAGGGACCAGTTTTTACTATTAAGTTGCTTATTAGCATGCCAATTATTAACATGTTGGCTATTTATTAGTACTTACAAAGTACATACTCTGCATGACCATATTCTACTACATTCCTAACCCTACCCAATACCTAAACTTAACTACCTTACTAACTATTAATAAGCATCAAATTAGGAGTTTATTGAGGCAAAAGTCATAGTTAATGGTTTGTTAATGGCAAGAACTGGACTTTAAAATAAAGTGTGACATTATTATTATTGTTATTATTATTATTATTATTATTATTATTATGCATTTGGTCTTTAAAATTAGTTGATAATTAAAATAGATTTTACTACTTTAATTTTGCATGTAATAGAATGCTAGTTCAATGGATTATGGTACACCAAAAAATGTTTTGTGCCTGCAAAATGCTTTAAACGTAGTATTTCTGTAAAGTGCCAAAAGATCAAGGTTAGAATGCCAAATAACGCGGTCTGAATCATAAACATCAGAATCAATCAGGATGGCCTTGACAATGTTATGCATCAACCACACTTAACCAGCTGTAACCAGAACGCCTGCAGATCCATAACTACCATCCTGTTGTGATGAGAACCTGCCAAAACGGTTCTGGTCTCTCATGGTGCTAGACTCACTCACCTCAGTCAACCTCCCACTAAGTTTGTAAGCAGAAAAACTGGCGCAGTGTCCATCACTTACAAGAGGATTTGGAGTTACAAGGCCTGGGGATTTTTAATCTCAGTAATGAAAGATGGAGTTGATAAAGCATCTTTTCGTGAATGCTGATATTTCTGCTGCGCCTCCTCTGAACGAGCTAATTGGAATGCACTCCCAGACCTGAGTGCACGGAATACAGCACATCGTATTAAAGCCCCGTCCAGCTCATTTTCTGTCCCTGCTTATATATTCACTAATTTCCTGACCGCTGCCCCCCGCTTTGTACATGTCCCAGTAATGACTTAGAACGCTGCTAAGAAAGGTGAACTGACAGGTCATTATAGATATTCACAAAGCCCA